GTGTGAGATTCTCACATACGAGATGTTAGTTCCCATAATTCCCCTTTTACTTCCACTTCTTCTTCCCATATAATAAAAAAGAATTTGAAAAAATAAAAATTTAAGACTTTAATTAAATAATTAATAATCAAAAGTATATATATATATATATAGGATTTAATATTATTAGTATAGTATACTTTTAAAAATAAATAAAAAATTAATATATTTAAATTTAATTATAAATTTTCATAATTTAATAAAAAAATAGGTATTTTTCTCAAAAAATGAATGAAAAAAGAAAAAAAATTATAAGAATCCAATTTAATTTTTTTTATAAAAATAGAGATAAATAATAAGAGAGAGAAAGAAAAATAAATGGAATATAATAAATAAATAAAATGAGTTTTAATTATACATGTCCATAAAAGATTAAAGGAAAGAAAGATTGAAAAAAAAGTTTTTTTTTTTTTTTTTATGAAAATCTCCCAAAATCTCGTGATAAATGAGAGACAAATTTTAAGATATTATGAGTACTTTCTGCTTAAAAATTAGTACGTCAGAGACTTTTATAAAAGTCTCTAGAAGTTATTAAAATTTGAATACCGTAAGATTTATAGAGACTTCTAAAAAGTTTTAATTGAATACACCGTAACTTTTAGAGACTTTTTAAAAGTCTATAAAAGTTTTAATTGAATACACCATGACTTTTAGAGAGTCTCAAAAAGTCTCAATTGAATACCCCTAAACTTTTTAAATCTCAAAAAGTTATTAAAAGTCTCAATTGAATACACCCTCCTTAATATATTAAGATGGTAATTTTTTTATTTATTAATGTATCAAATAACCACTTGTCATGTGTATATCACGTAGGATGACTGCTATAGTAAGCGACTGCAAATAACATTATTCGGCTATAATGGGTTAAAACTTGTTTTACACCGAGCCCTGTTTTTAAATATCACAATTCAAAAAAACATGTGTAAACATAATAAAAAATCAGGTATTAATTTGTCAAATCCTATTCACTTTCACACTCCACTCTCTCTATGACACTTTCTACCATAGTTATTAAACTCGATCCGAGCATTTACCCGATCGAGGTGCTAGGTCATCGGGTTACTGGTTGAACATGTGAGTTAGTGGTTGGACCGATGGGTCATTGCTTATAATTATTTTAAACAATTTTATATATAAATTGTTCTCTTTTAGATAAAATTTAAATTTTAAAGTAATTTGTCATTAATTATATTTATATCTTTAAATTTTTGATTTTTTAAACTCGGATTAGTAATAATGATTATGTTTTGATACTATAATTTTGTGTATTATATTGACAAAATTTATATCATTTAATCTTTTTAAATCAAAATGTTTTTAGAAAACATTCTATATTTATGAATCATATAAATTACACAAAGAGATAACAATCGGCTTGTGGTTCAATTGGTTTGGCACTTGCACTTCCTTGTTGAAGGTTTAAGGTTCAATTCTTTACAACCTTCAAATTTAATTCAACATTTTTAAGTCCAATAAAAAATCGATCGATCGTTCCGATTTTTAATAAAAAAATGTTGGTTGACTCAAGCTTTGACTGGTTCAATTGCATATGGATAATATAATCCAACTCGGCCTGATCTACGGGCCGAGTCACCGATTTCATCGTCCAACCGTTTGGGCCGAGACGATTTTTATAACAATGCTTTCTACTCTCTATAATATCTTTATCACGCAACACTACCAAAGCACCGCCAACCAATGGGCTCACGACCATCGAATTAGCGTCTCCCTTTCTTATTCTCCACATAATCATTAAGAAACGACATGTGAGTGTTGCGATGCTACAACATGGTAAAGCTCTGCATGGGCAGCGCTCACAGTGTCGTTGCATGCAAAGCCTAAACACATATTGGCATTGTATTGAGAAGCAGCTTGCTGCTCTGGATTGGGCTGGGGGTAGAATACTGCTCTAGGCTAGTTTGTAGAGAAATGGTGTGTAGTTCTACGTGTTGCTCTGGGCTACAACAGCGGTGTGCAACTCTAATTTTGGATTTGATTTTGTCGGTGGTGTTTATAGTTAATAATGGTGATGGTAGTGATCACGATGAGTTGGTGGTGACCTATTAAATAGTTAATATGTGAGTGGTTGGTGGTGGAGGTGGTTGTTCATGACTGGAGATCTTATAGTAGTGGTTGTGGTGATTTTTGTTTATAATCGATTGGATCTAGTGGTGGCGACATTTGTTGGTGGTGGTGGTGGTGTGATAGTGGCGGTGGAGACATTGTGAGGTGGTCGCAAGTGGCCATAGTGACAATGGCGGTAGTGTTGATGGCGGTGGTATGTGACAACTATTTAGTGCATGTGACAACTATTTGATTTATTTGTGATTTTAAAATTTGATAATTTGTGACCAACAAATTTGAAAATATGTGATCGATAAATAAATCGTGACCTATATTCTTTTTATCTGCGATCATGAAATAAATTGTGACTTATAATTTTTTTGATTTGTGACCTCAAAATAATCCCTGATCAATTAATTTAATAATATATGATCAATAAATAATTTATGACCTATAATTATGTATTGTTACCATTAATTGTATAATTGGGACCTTATTATATTCAAATAATAAAATTTTTAATTCATAAATAATTAAGATCTGAAAATTGATTTGGTGATATTTAATACCTGATTTATGAATTTTTTTCCCCCGATTTTGCTTTTTGGGTTTCAATTTTTTTCACTTTGGGCTTAGACTATAGGCACATGGGTACAGTTAACAATTTGGCAAAATTAATTTATCTGAATCAACTAACAAGCTTATGTATAGTAATCCTGATGCGAACCCACGTAGCAATGGACATTACGGAACTCACTGGAGATTGTCACAAACCCCAAGAATGCCAAATACACCAAGGTTTGGATCCAACTCGCAAATAGTGAACTAAACAACCTAAAGTGTATGAAATTAACGACCTCTTAATCATATGACTTACGAAATCACACGCGAATTTGTGGATTTGAATCCAAGACAATGAATCAAGAAACCCGACAATAATAACAACTTTAGAACCCCTAGATTACGTGCATTGTAATTTGGACGCCACAAGATATTTTAAATCTTGATAAGTTCGGTGTTATGTGGAATAATATCCCTATTTATAGGAAAACCAAGTTGAAACGGAAATAAACTCTTAAAAATACAAAAGTTACCAAAAAATAAGAATTCTAGTCAAAATAAAAGATCTCACGAAAATTGGAAACTTCATCCCAAA